ATGGGTAGGGGTGATGGGGAGAGGTGATGGGGAGGGGAGTGAAATGAAAGAGAGAGCGGAGGGGTAGGTGGGAGGGAGAGGGGGCTTTTGCGTGAAATGACAGCACAATTCACGAGTTACTTATTTCGTTTTGGATCACATCAGGCTTCGCTCACATTACATTGTAATTCTCAGCTTCATGTAACGGCGCCTGTCCATTTAGACGTTTGTCATATTTCGTAACACGAGCTACTAGTACTAGAACGAGACAACTTATTTGGATGTTAGTTGTCGGATGATTAGCTCAACAAGTGAAAGAACATTCCCACAATAATTCCAGTACGCTGTCTGCTTCGTTTACCACGTTCATGATGTCCGTACACATATCTGTGGGTGGTTGGCGGGTGCTCTGGTGTGGTTTGCTCCTTCTTTCCTCATAAACATCTATCGTCCTTATCTCTCCTCCTTTTTCACGTTTGTTGTTATTCTCTTGTAACACCTCTAATCTTCGGCACTTATATGACCTTATTGTGTTGTAAGTGCTGTAAAACTCCTTACTAAAACTAAACACATATCAAATCCTTTGTTTCCTTTTGTACGTTGTAGGGGTGGTGCCTCTTTATGTAAAATGAATGATTCGTTGCATAAGCTGTTCTAGCTCTAGTGGTTGTTGTTGTTGCTGAAGATTCCATCAGCGTCAATCTGTCTGATTGTTGCGTTAATGGCGTGTTAATGAACCTTCTATCCTCTCTCAGAGACAATTTTCCTCTTGGCTGTCTCATAACCGGAAAGATAGTATTATGCTTACTCATACTGACAGTCAGTAGTGACAGACAAAGAGACAGACAGTCCACAATGATCTACATAATACAACAAAAAAAAATAGAAAAGAGGAAGGTACTTTTTCACGTCTCTCTCTCTTTTCTTTGGGTAAAGGAGTGCTTGTCAAATTTTTTGAAATACATCCCACGCCCACGTTTATCATCTTAAAGAGGTTAACATGTCCATGTCTCCCATTTGTACAACGTTTTTCTAAATAGCCCACTAGTGGATGCATCGGCCCAGGTTAATTTAGTTTTAGTAAGAGTTTTACGGTACTTGCCACACCATAGGGCTATGTAAGTGCCGAAGAATAGATGTGTTACAAGAGAGTAACGTACACAAAGGAAAGAAGGAGGAGGGGAGGTAAGGACGATAGATGTTTGATA